TTCCCGACTGGTTCCGAATTTGCCGAAAGCGGTGCTGAAATTTGCCGAAAGCGGTGTCAGATTTTGGCCCGAAATTTGCCGAATTGGATTATTTCTTAGGATTTGGGAAGTGTTTTGGTGGGTTTGGGGCGGGTGGGGGCCAGTTTGGGGGTGTTCGGGTGGGTTCGGGGGGTGGTTTTGGGGTGGCTGGGGCGGGGGTTTGGGTTTTGGGAAAGTTTCTGGTGATTTTTGGTGATTTGGAAAGATGGGGGAAGATTTTTGGGGATTTGGAGGGTTTGGAAAGATTTGGAGGGGTTTGGAGGGATTTTGAAGGGTGGAATGATTTCTGGTGATTTTTACCGCTATGTGACGCCTTTGGTGAGCATTGGGATGGTTTTTTATTTTTCGAAAAGTGGAAATGCATTGCCATGTTGGTAAAGCCCACTCAAAGCCATGTCAAACACGGCAGAGGGCACTTACACGGTGCCTATCATTTTTTCGTCCTTGAGCCTGTGTGTAAAGTTGTCATGTGAATATTGATGATAACACGAAGCCTAAGACGGTCTGAAAAACAATAATCTGTTTAGATATCCCCTGATTGGCTTTAAAAGTTTGGCCAGTTTTGGTGCAAGGGGGGGAAATAAAAACACACACATCGTTGACTTCACCACCTCCATGCTTCCCTGGCAACTTCATGGAAACCCTCAAGAAGTTTCATCAAAGTTTCCGAACCCCAAAAAATGCATTCTGAACCCCAAAAAATGGATTTTCAGCACCAACTTTTCACCAAAAAATTGAAATTTGACACCAAAAAAGGTGTTTTCCAACACCAAATTTTCTTGTTCCGGGCACTGGCTAGTCGATGCACAAAAAACGGCCAGACCCAGGTTTGCACCAGTCGTGCACCACCCCCCCCCCCAAGCACCAAAACCTGGCCAAACGTTTTAAGCCAGCCAGGGGCTTGGCAAAGTATACCCTCTATCCCTCTGGAATTTGTTGCATTTCTATTGAAAATGGCCCATTTAGTTCGTTGATTTACCTATTGAAGATGGTGACGTTCCATAGCAAAATGTTAGTTTACCAGAGGGTAAATCTGGATGATCCCTCCATTAAATGGTGGATAATCCCTCCATTTGGTTGGTTTTTTACCATTAAACATGGTTTTTTTACCATTAAACATGGGTTCCCTTGTTTTTAAGTGACTTGGGGAACAAGGGAACTCCGGGTGTTCCAATGTCCTGTTGTAGTTCCCTCCAAGACACGGGCACAACCTCGCGGCAGACTGACCCGGCACCTTTTTTGGCAAAATGGCCCTGTTGAATGCATCAAATTTCACCACTTTTGGGGATCATTTAAATTGCCACCGGCGGATTTTCAAATGTTTAAGATCTTTTAATGACAATGTTTCGTAAACAGCACCATTTTTTGATGGTTGAATCAACCTGTACGATTCTTAATGATGGTTTAAATCACCATTGATGATTCATCCCAACCCCTCTTGGATGCTCCGTGACTCCCTGCATCTGTCGCAGCACAAAAGCAAGACCCTTGCGGCCTCTCCTGCGGTTGGTTGCAGTGAAATGGTGATTTGAACACTGGTTGGTGGTATACCTACCCCTCCGAAAAATATGAGTTCGTCAGTTGGGATGATGACATTCCCAATTATTATGGGAAAGTCATTCAAAATTCCATGGTTTTCAAACCACCAACAGATATATCTACTATAACTATGGAAAATCACAATTTTTAGTGGGTAAATTTGAGCCATCAGAATTTGTGATGTCGACAATGGTTTCACCAAGATCGGTGATTTCATCAAAATGGTGCAGGATTTGAACATATCTTTGATGAAAATTTGTGTTTTATGCATCGAAAGCGGTGAGAATTTCTCGCATCAAAACTGGCCGATTTTTAAGCATCAACAAATGGTGGCTTGAACCATCCTTAAAATGGTGGATGTTTTTTTTTAGAAACCTGGTGATTTAATAATCATCAAAAAGGGCGATTTAAACCATCTAAACCAGGTTTAATCATCATCAGATATCATCGGTTTAGATGGCAAAATGATGTTTTTAACCATCTAAACTGATGATATCTGATGATTCAACCATAGACCCAGAATTGGATGGACCAACAGACCAACAGCGAAAGGGCGACAAGTCGCACTCCTCTTCGTGGCCAGTGAATATTGGTAAAACAAGCCCGTGATGGTGGCGAGGGCAAGCAATACGGTGTTCACAGCACTTATGAGGCCTGGAAACGGAGCAATCTCCCGAAAAATGAGATCTCACCTGGCAATCTTAAGTGGCCAGGTTTCTTGAGTGCAAACCTAAATCTGAAACCGAGGCGCCGAGGCCCAAATCTGTGGCTCGTGACGTCTCGTGATATCCACCAAATATGAAGGCATCCCAAAATGATTGGTCAATGAATTGGGATTATCATCTTATTTCTAAGGATGGAAAACCAACAAAAGAAACCACCAATCATCCACAATTTTGGTATATAAATCCTGCAATAAAAGAACCTTGGAACTCAGCCAGTTGCAGCTTGGTCATCTTGGTCCTCCCATTTTACCATATTTTACCCCCAAAAGTCATGGCGAAGTCATGGTCCCGTCCATGTCCATCCCCGAAATTCCCCTGCTTTCATCAGCTTCCCAGCTTCGGTCAAGTCCCCGCCGGTTGCCGTGCCGCTCAGGTCCGACAGGTCCGACAAGTCCAACAGGTCCCGAGCCGGGTCCCCGGGCTGCTCCATTTTCGCCCATTCAGCGCTTCCTGGACGATCCGGGGCCTCAGGAAATGCCCAAAAAACAATGGAAAGATCCACCATTTTGAATGGGTAAATCCACTATTTCTATGGCCATTTTCAATAGCGATGTTGGTTTACCAGAGGGTAAATCTTGAGATATATAACTGCAACTATTTTCTGCTTGGAGGTATACCTACCCCTCTGAAAAATGATGGAGTTCGTCAGTTGGGATGATGACATTCCCAACTGAATGGAAAAATAATCCAAATGTTCCAAACCACCAACCAGATTCTGATATGTTTAGAATGTTTTTTGACATGGCAAATTTTATTTAGATATCCATGGCGAATGGAATGAATCATCAATATGTGCAGATTTGCTTCGCCAGCTGTGGAACATTGGAACATTGCTGGGTGCCCCGACCGACCTTTTTTGTAACACTTGGTTTTTCGATACTTGTCGCTTCCAGCCTGGAGTGAAAGGCACATCCCAGATCTCGCTAGGCTTCAGCGCCTTATAAAAAAGCCTCTGGTACTTGAACATAGCCATGGTAAATTCGATATTCCACGGCCCATTTATAATTTATAGATGATCTTACCTAGGAACATGGTGATTGTTATGGATTTTCCATAGATTCCATAGCTATGTTAAATTACCCTCTGGTAATTTGTTACATAGCTATTGAAAATGGCCATAGAAATCATGGATTTTTCCATTAAAAATGGTGATTTTCAATAGTTTTTTGTATGTTTACCAGAGGGTAATCAGATGCTACTCCGCCGGTGCGACTCACTCCGAGGTCCGTACCAAAATCAGCGGAACGAACCTGGGAACTTGGGAACTCGGCGGAGCAGTTGGCGGCTGTGATGGATTTACGGCAATGGAAACATCAGCTGGGATATATCCCCAAGATCCAATCTCCAGCATATATCAGTATATAATATATATATATATATATCAGTGTGTATATTCATGTATATGTATTCCTATCAATTCATATCATGGATGTTTCACAAAAACAAGCTGGGCCCATGACTTTTCCACCGAAAAAAAAATCCGGTTTCAGTCCCCTATGACGACTTGGAAAGACCCAGGGAACTTGTTACTACCCTCTGGCAATCTACTCTGACTTCAGAAATCCTCATTTATGTGTGTATGATTGTGTATGTATAATATATGAGTATGTTACTCTATAGATCTGTATAGATATATGCTATATAGTGGGAAATTTCTAGGAAAACATCCACAAATCAGGGACTTTTGCCAACTTAAGCTACCCGAGTTTCCACCTGTTCATCGCGCACTTTCTCCTCATCTGCCGTCTGGAGTGTTGCGGAAAACGAGTCGTGCCGCAGAAGGACGGAGGAGGGACGGTCAAAATGAGCGCGCCAAGTAGGCTATTAGCGGCTAAACTGCTTGACGATTTCATACCGTCCCTAAGGATTCAAACAAGCACCTTTCTGGCAATCAAGATCTTCCAGTTCTTCATTTCAGCCCAAATGAAAGGTATCATCTGATGTCATCTGGGGAGCATCTTCCCTTCTCAGGTGGAGATAGAAAACCTTTCGGAGCCGGGAAGTCTCAGAGAGGGTGGCAACTCAGATCCCTTGGTTTTTTGATGATGGAACGAGGCAGTGACAAACTCTGAGAACATGTCTGAGTTGCAAGAAAAGTCACTCCAATACTTGGCAATGAGAAGATCACCCCATCTTTGGGGAAAGAAATCACTCATCCCCCCATCTATGGGTGTAAATGGTCCCTGAAGCTCCCCTGGTGACTGGATTGTGACCTGTTGGATATGTACCAAAGAAAAACCATGAATTAACAGGGTGAATACCAATCCATTATGCATAGGTAAATGACATCCACAAGGGGGGAAAACTAGTGAATACCTCTTTATCTACCCACTTCTCCCCTGCTTGTGTATGCGGTGTTGGGAGCAAGCCTGACTAACTTCAACGTTCATCATCTACATGGACAATGCACAAGAATGTGTATAGATGTGCACAGGTAGCATTTCGACCATCACATTGAATTCTCTGTAAATCTGGGGGCACTTGCGGCACCAGAATTCAAAGTCAGATTTTAGGCTGCCACTTGAGCTGCCCAGGGAAACATGCTCGCTCTGGAGCTGGTCCCTTTGGCCGTTTTCAGCCCTTGCGTTACCCTCCGGTAAACCAAGAGTTTGCTATGGAAACCAATTTTCCACAGTTACCACATTGTTTCCATAGTTATCATGTGATTTTCGTTAAGAGGATGATTTTAACCATGGATGATTTTCTACATAATTACCAGAGGCGAAAGCCGTCATTTGGTACCCTTGATCATGTGAGTTGCTCCAACTACAAAGATGTTCATGGAGACCTCAGAGCCGCAATCCAGAACTGGACGGGACCATGATGACCACGGCTACATGGCTAATATGGGGCTTTCTTCAAATAAGGGATCCTCAAAATGAACGGTTTATAATGGAAAAACCAATCATATATATATATATAATTGAAATGGCTGATTCAGAGGTACACCTATGGATTGGAAACCTCCATGTCTATGAATTATTCGATATCATTCGATGCCACATTGCAGGAACGTTGGATATTGATCCACTTGATATTGGTAGATTCATTGACATCCACTTGAGGTCAAGCTGCGCCAACCAGCAGCATAACCACAACGTAGCCAGTGTAGGCATAGTGCGAGACAACTGTATGCCTTGCAAAAAGACCCTGGGAACTGGCACCAAGGTCATTCAAGGCCCCTCTGGCATGGGGGTTTAACCCTGGTAAACAAACATCATAGCAATATACCTATGACTAAACCTCATAAGATCAATATATCATGGGCCATCAACTTTAATATCTTTATAATGGTGAATTAACCATTAAACACATATTTAAAGAAACATTGGATTTAACCATTGAACAATTGCCATTTACACTCACTTCACTTGACTCAAGCCATTTCCCAAGGCCGCGACATGTGTTTCTCAGTGGAAACCTGATTGGCCGCCTGGCATTGCAAAAATCAGCGCTGTCGACTTTGCGGTACAAAGTCGAATGATTTGCGGGTCGACTTTTTTCTGTGATTTCAACACATTTCAACCACAAAAATGTGGGGAAATTGGGATTTCATTGGGATCATGGGAATGGTTGTGTATCATGGGGATGAACTGCCCAGAAATTCTTCTCCGCTTGGTGAAGCTCACACCCGTTGCGACCATCATCACACAAGGAAAGGAAACAAAAAACCCATGTGCCATGGTCAAAACATGGGATTCATCCATCTACCGGGAATCCAAATCTCATGAGTATATAAATCTCTATGAAAATCCTATCCCATTGTACCAATATTGGTTCATAGCTATTTTTATGATGGGCTATGTTCATCCCCAACAAATTGGATAGTGAAAAACCCTATATTAATAGCCGATCAACCATCATATATCAACTCTATACTAACTTTTCCAAACTCTACAAGCCATACGAGTATTTGCGGGTTACTTTCATGCAGCTGGGAAACTCTTGGTAGCTCCATAGCTTAGAGGGAATATGGATACTCCAAGTTCCGAATCCTTCCCTCCATTCAGTGAATAGCGGTTAAGTCTGAACTAACCAATCAACAATCCCAAACGCTCCTCACATATAGAATATTTACCTACATTTACCCATATTTATGGCCCAGTTTTGTAGGTAAATATTTCCTACATGGAGCATTTGGGAACGCTGTGTCCATCCCAATCTTCATCGAATCCCCGCCGGGTGCCCCCGACCAACAGCAAACCCGAGACCACCGGCCCAGCAGTGCATCCGCAGAAACCTGCCGCATGATACATGCATGACATGCATGACATACATTACATACAAAACATAACATAACATACATATACATCCATACATCAACAAATCACGCCTATCAAAAATCTATTGCAAGGGATGTCTCTCCTTACTCGTCCCAAACTTCCAGCGTAAAGCTCCTCGGCAACACGGCAAAAGATTGTAAATTACAGTGCATTTGCATTTGCAATTTTGAATAAAAAACGATGCTTGCAACATCTTGCAACATGTTCAAATTTACGTAAATAGCAGTATTTTTGACATGACTTATGCACAAACAATACCATGATTTTTGATACCAAGTGCAAGAAACAAAGGAAATACCGTGGCTATTGCCTTCCAGGTCTTAGTATTTATGCAGTTGTTTGATCCGAAAAGCACATGATCAATACCAACACTCACACTAGCGACATAATCCTTATTGCATCGCCAGTGTGTGAAGCTTTACAATAATAAATAATAATGCTACATGCATAAAATTACAAAAATATACCTACGTCATGTGATGTGATGCGATGCGATGCGATAATGTGGGGTGAGGTGAGGTAAAGTGATCTGACACGATGTGATCTATGTGTATGTTGGCTCCTGTATTGAAGTTGGTTATTTCAAACACTTGAAAATATTCCCATCAAACCATGTGGTATGCTATTCACCCCATCAATCAGTTTGCGCTCTAAGAATCCACCAGTGGATTCCCTGATTGCATAAACATTCCATCTATCCTTCCTGCTGGAAAATCGATGACTCCAGGGTCAACCATCCCCATTTTGCATCACGAGCGCTCACAAGGACTCTCGGGTAATCAAACATGGCTTTCTGGAAAATCCTCTAGCAATAGTTCGATGATGTTCTCAGCTACCCTCTTGTAAACTAACATAACTATGGAAAATCACCATGCTCAATGGGTAAATCCACTATAAATCACCATTTTCAATAGCAAACTGTTAGTCATTACCAGAGGGTATATAAACCTCCATGGCTTGTTCCGAAGATTTCCCAGCCATGTTTGATTACTGGAAGGTAAACAAGCCCCCAGTGGTTCTTCACCATTATTCACCATTTTATTCACCATTATTCATCATTATTAACAACAAAAAACATCATCACTATCAATTCACCATCATTATGATTCATCATGATGAACGGTGAGTCTTAAATTCTAAACCATCCTGAACCAAAGAACAACATCAACGGAGCCCCGCCTGCAACGCCCCAGAGACCGAAGGCCTCCGCAGTGGTCTTGCCCTGTGGTAGGCAATCCAACGCCAAGGCCTGGTAACGATAAGCAACGCCGGGGTTAATTACTGTGGATGGGCCAGCGAAATCCGATAAACCACCAATTTGGGATGGTTGAAAGCCTATAAATAATGGGATAAACGGCTGTTTACCATCTATTAACTGCTTCGATAACGATGAAATGCCGATAATGGTTGTTATTCATAATGGTTGATGATTGTTGGTCATTTACAGTGGCAATTTTGAGAGTAATGGTGCTCATAAGAGCAATAATCGTCATTAATGTAATATAATAGCATCCTTATAGTCAATCATAATGATTGATGATATGTAATTGATATGTGTTTGATTATGAACAACAATGCCTAATGATGATAAATGATGATAATATATAATTGATACAGTACACGATAGATGAATTATAAACAACCTCGATAATCGTATAGTCATTCACGTTGATGCATGATAGTTGACTTAAATATTGATGATAAACAACCATGCCTAATAATGATGGGTAATATGCAAACATACAAGACACATAAGATGCCTAATGTTAAAACATATTTCAGAAACATTAAAGATACCTAAACATGATAGATAAAACATACTTCAGAAACATGATAGATCATATTAGACAATAAACTATACTAATACAAGAAATGATACCCTCTGGTAATTTAACAGATATAGCCATTGAAAATGGCCCATTTAGTTATAGATGATTTCCCTATTGAACATGGTATTACGGTATTACCATTGAACATAGCTATTGAACATGGTGGTTTTCCATAGCAAACTGCTACCCTCTTGTAAACTAACATAACTATGGAAAATCACCATGCTCAATGGGTAAATCCACTATAAATCACCATTTTCAATAGCAAACTGTTAGTCATTACCAGAGGGTATATAAACCTCCATGGCTTGTTCCGGAGATTTCCCAGCCATGTTTATGTAAATTACCAGAGGGTAACGAGTCCTCGTAACATCCCGTGTTGATTTCACCGGGAGCCCCGTACGTAGTCCACGCTGACATAGATCCCACTGCCCAGGCCGTAGCACAGCCCAGCGCTGAGGACCAGGTGCCAACGCAGGTCGCCTACGTATGGAAAACTTGGAGGATCATCCCCCGAAAAATCACTGGTTGGTAAGTGGTGTTACCCTCTGGTAATTTAACGTAATTGAAAATGGCCATTTATTGTGAGTTTTCCCATTAAAAATGGTGATTTTCCATTGTTTTTTGTATGTTTACCAGAGGGTACCCGCTTAGAAATGGAACAACCCTAGGAATTGGGGACTTACTAATCAGGGTTATTAACCACTTTCTAAGTTTTTCCACGACATACTGGGGTTGAGACCAAAACTTCCTCCGATTCCGAGACCACCGAGCAACGTTTGGGGTGTTCAAGATATCCTTTAAACCTTTAAGATATCCTAATATATCCTACATAAACTATACCCAAATTATAAAATCGCAATGTCAAACTTACCCTAAAGTTGCATCAAGCGCCAATTTTGCCACAAAAAATGGGATAACCAAACCCATCATCTCCGGTAATACCCAAGTCCCCTGGCACCTGGCACCAATGGCGCCCTCAGTGAAGGCGATCCCCGGAGTTTTTCTCATAGAGGTTTCACCAGCAAAAATATGGGGAACATCTTTGATAGATATATGAAAAAACATGGTTTAATCACCAAAAATAACCAAAAATATGTGGGTTGATTTTGTTTTAACCATTTTGAAGGGGATGTAGCGGGGATATAATTGCGAATAATGGATATATAATTGGATATGATGTGTGTGTGTAGTATGTGTAGTATATATATATATATACAAAATGTGTATTGCCAACAACATGAATGATGGGTTTGTCTCAAAATAGAGGACACCTCCTTTCATGGCCATCTTAATAGTTTTTTTGGGCATTTGCAACAGATGTCCCTGAGGTCAGTGTTCCCCCTCTTCAACCTCCTCAAACGAGATCGAGCGGCCAAATGTAGAGCAAGAAGGTGACTGACATGATCGAACATGCCAGGTAGATCACAGGTTTTCGGCCTCGGACAGGGCAGGTTAAAAAAAAAGCAGGACCCTGGGAGAAAAAATGCAACAGGCTTCAACCATCCAATATGGGGATACAGTTGGTATATGTAATCATAACCAATGATGATCTATCATGAGTTGCTGGGACCTGCGTTGGCAATGGTAAGATGGACCACCAGACTGCATCCAGGGGAAGCCATCAAAGCTTCATACTTCATCCGACTTCATATCGCTGTAACACATCCGGTGGACAATTATCAGCTAATCATGGCTGGAAAATCCTCTAGCAATCTGATGATGTTCTCAGCTACCCTCTGGTAAACTAACATAACTATGGAACGATGCGTAAATCTACTATAAATCACCATTTTCAATAGCTATGTTAGTTTGCCAGAGGGTAATGAAGATTATGGAGGAACCAATCATTTTCAGGGTGGACGGTTCCAGACTGCCAAACAGCTCCCCAACTCGCCGCCTTTCTGCTCCAGCGGATACTCCAAACACGGAGTATTGCTGTTCCAACTTCGTAGACATAGCGCACCCCAGTCTCTCCCCCAAATCATCCACTTTATGTTGGGATTTTCCATTACAAACCATCCAGCTATATAAACTTCCATGGCTTGTTCCGGAGATTTCCCAGCCATGTTTGACTGGAGGTCCAAATCCTGAAGTCCAAGATGTCCAAGGCCCGAACCGAAGACATTGGAGCTGCGACCCGCTGGGACCTCGGTCTTTTCCGATGAAATATGGAGGTTTGTTTCAGCCGAGGTGTCCTGAAAATTGATACTTCAAGGGATGGAGTCTACATGAGTCTAGTAATCTAGTATATGTTTGCCCATCTTTTCCATTTCAATTCACGTTTACTTTGGGGCAAATTTTAGGACCATCCAGAACCACCTCAAATGCAGAAATCTGGGCCATTTACCATTCAACCTGGTTTCAACAAGTCCCCAAATTCAACAAACGCCCAAAAGCACTACAGTCATTCAACACATATCCAAAAGCATGGCCGTCATTGCGTGCGATCATTCCATGTCACTTCTGAATTCTACATTCAAACCACCCAAACAAACATATATATATATATAAATATAAGCACATTTAAACTAAGTTATAGAATATACCACCCCATTCCCCAATTCCGCAGGTTCTCTATTCTGTACCCGTGCCTTCCCTTCCCGCCGCGCGGCCGAAATGGTCGCGCCAACCACCTGCGCGGCGATCATCAGCGAGGCCAACTTGATGCGCAGCTCGGCTTCGTCGTCGATCTGCAAGTTGTCACGCAGGTAGTAGTACCTGGGGAATCACCGGTATAACCATGGTTTTAGCTGGTGATTAACTATGGAATAGTTAAAAACATTTAAAAACCATGGCAACAACTTACTGATATGATCCTATATATGGGAACCCTAGAATTGGGGACTTACTAGAGTTACCAGTTCAGCACGGTGGCGATAGGTGTGTTTGATAGATCCAAACTGTTCAGAAAACGGGGAAATCAGCAACAACCATGGGAATGAATAAATGGCTTTGTGATAGCTAAGCTGATGTACTTCACGAGGTGATGACTATTGGGTTTATTTATAAATCCCTGGCATTGTTTACTATGTGGTTTATTAAGAGATTATAGCCCAATCTTTACTGGGAATCCATGTTTTATGTGGTTCATGGCGTTTTCACCCCCAAGCAATGGCTATGTCTATGGTGGTTTAACCAACAAAAATGGTGGTATAAGGAGACATCAGGGGAATTCAGCCATTGTGAAAGTTGCCATAACTGGAGTGCATCACCTTGTGCTCTAGGACGTCGCCACCAACATGGGCAGCTGAGACACAGATGACTCAAGTTGGCTGAAGTTGGTTGCTTTCTTGGGACTTTTTCGGAGACGTTGGAAACAGCATTCCATTCTGCTGTGGAGAATATGTGGAATCGGCTGTACATAGCTATATTATATCCCATAGGATCCATGTATGATATATGTATATATATATATGCTAACATAAAGGGGGTTAATATTGATGGGATCCATGGCACACCATATGTTACCATATATCGCATCACCATGGATCCTATGGGTGTGTACAATAGTAAAAATCTACCATCTGGTTTATAACTCCAATGTCACTATGGTTTATGGTACCTAATAACTATAGTTATATAATGGGGTTTATAAACCATCTGATACAGTCACTGGGGGGCCCCACATTATATCAGTCTACCTGATCCAAATGACAGGTTCCAAGATCCAAGTGATTTGGATCTAATGCAACAGCAGGGCACAAGAAAACGGTCACCGACGTTGAAACCTCGGTGTTTCAAACCCGCCAGCAGCACAGAAAGCTGGGAGTGAAAATCCAAACCCCCCAAAAGAGTATAGGAACGGCTGAAAACCTGGTTTTGCCGCGGGAAAATGGATGTTTTGTAGGTTGAGGATGGTTTATAAGCTGATTTTTCTGTGTTTATAGTTCAGTTGATTCTTGAAGATTTCCCAAAAGCTGTTGTCCCAAAGTGGTAGGGGATGCATCTTGAAAGGCCATACCCGACAAACTGAAACGCATGCCCCAGCGACATAATAGAAGAGCCGGCCAATGCAAACCCAAAGAAAATCCTGGCAGTGGCACAACCCACCCCAATCGAGAGGTGGCCAAGACTACTGGGATAGTCTGTAGGAATTTCCATCATACACTGAATCTATTTGACTATTTCTATGGTTGATGCGGATTTCCATACACACATTCTATATATTTCTATAGTTTAAATTGTTGCTGGCATGATAATCAATATCAAAAGGCTTTGCTGGTCCCTTACATACCGCATGATATGCCCCAGTTTGGTCGGTGGATCAAAGGCCTGGTGCCCTGGTGAACCTCCAAATAGCTGCGAACTGTCTGGATGCCAGAAACATGACAAGTTGAGGCGCCAACGATAGCAAAAATAGCGAAAAAACAGTTGACTCATACCGACTCATACCTTACGTCTGGGACATTTTGGGACATTTTGGGACATTTTGGGGGGATAAACATGACATTTTTATCACAACATGACAACCACCGCAGTAATTTGTTCGTCCCCCAAAAACGGACTGATTTACGAGTCGCCACTCGGAGAGCCCCGCCTCGTGGGCGGATGGATCTAGCGTAAAGCTGCCACAGACCTGGGAGATTTAAACAAACTGGGGTCATAACTGGAGTCACAACTGGATATATGATACAATCCATATAGAATATGAATAATATGACATATATATATAATATATAATATATATGTATAATATGATACAATCCATGTCAGTATCTATCCAGTACTTAGTACTTGAGTACTGGTGAAAACACCAGCTCTTACATGACAAAAGTCCAAACAAACCCAAAGAGTTGCAGGTTGGAGTGTGACTTGTCGCGAATTGGATCTGTAACAATCCTCAATCCTGCCTTTGAACATCCCCATATCCTCCCTGCAAGTCCTTAGCCAGTGAATTGAGCTGGCCAAATAACCCTTTTGGATCCTTTTGGATCCTTAGGTAACTCGGCCACAGTGCCCCCATCCATCGGCCGGCCAAACCCACCCGGCCAAACCGGTCCCCATCTCCAAAATCTCTGGATTTGGGTAATGGATTGGTGACCATCCCCAAATGGACAACCCAACTTCACCATCATATGCGTTTGCGGACAGGGAATCTTATGATATCTATATTTGATGGGGTAAATCCGGACATGGATTGGATATGGAAAATTGATTGTTGGGTCATGGCATTAATGTTCAATTTCTTTCTTCAGGTCACGGGACTCCCGAGTTTTCTGCACCAAGGGCCTCGGCAGCAGTGATTGGCTCCGCATTTTCCGCGTGCAGCGTTGATTCCTGGCTGAACACATCGGTGGGATCCCGGCGAAGCGACGGAACCCCATCTACCGTAGCACACGTCCTTACGTAGATCAACGGACGCTGCATCATCCTGGAAAAGACTTGATCTGCAGCTTACCAGCGCTGGTAATCCCTAAGGTGGCACCCTCAAAAATCTAAAAAGTGGGATATCTCTTCAATATCCCCACACTATATCCCAAAATTGCATGAAATCCCATGAAATCCCCATGAAATCCCATGAAATTCCATAAAATCACCATGAAATCCCAACTCTCCCACCAGATTTTCAAGGGCTTCGGTGCCTCGTTGGCTGCTTGGCAGACCACCGTGCACGCCACTGCGGTGGCAGCCATATAGCAGGTGTACCTGGCCATCCCAAGCTCCGAGAGATGGTGAAGTTCTGATATTCAATGGGATCAAACGCGCGGATTTCGTGGAATTTCATAGGGGATTTTATGGAATTTCATGGGATTGAAATGTTGAATGATGTTGAATTTAAGTGGCATAAATGGTTTATAAGTGGTGAATTCAGGGGGATGCCAAATGGTGATGGGCCGCAAGAAGTTGGGACCGCCTGCTGCGTCGCCTGCTGTTTGACTCTTCAAGGAATTTGCACACGTTTTGTCCATGTAGTTGGATGGAGTCTTCATGTTCAAACATGGGGATGGGTCAAAACCCTATCCCCCTGGTGAACATCAAAATAGCTGGTAAATGGATGTTCATCCCCCTAAAAATGGTATGTATAGGTATTGATCCATAGCCACATTGCAATTTACGGCAACATCAATCAATCAGAACCAAATTCCCGGGATATGCAGAGGCTATTGAGATCTATTGAGAATGGTTACTGTACCAAACACATGTGATTTTCCATAGCTATGTGTGATTCCCAGAGTCCCAGACGTCCAGCTAACTAATAGGGCGTGTATTTCAATTGATGGAGGTTATCATGGCTATAACTTGCCGACCTTCATAGCATCCTTGCCAATATATTGCCAGGTAAAAACATTGGCTAGTTATAGCGGTATCCCTTTATATCCCTTGCAATTTATGTGGTCGCCAGGAGGCTGTACGTGCACTGGCATCCTCAGAGCGGCCAAGGGCATACAAGGTGAGGCCCCCGGGTACATAGTTCAGTTGACGCACACAACTTGGTAAATTCGGCATTATGGTGAATATAACGTTAATGGGGCTGGAAAATAGCTGGGGGGCCTCACTTTGTAAACATACTACTCACTAAGGGATGATTTCCTTAGAAATATCAATGTCATAAACACCAAATCGCTAAAAAATCGCCATCTCAAGTTTAAGGATGGAAGGAACCGGTTCTTTGAAATAGGTGCAACCACCATTTTAACATGTATGGGCAATGGCATACCAGATTTTTCAGCTGTCAATTTTTCCCCATGCAGGATGTTCCAGTCCGACCCAAAAAAAATGAGACCCGCAAAAAAAATATGTTTTTATGTTTTTACTCATCTAACCATCCAATTCGGGGGTAAATTGTCCGAACCATTCCCTAACGCACCCAACGCGCCCACCAGGCCCCAGTGATCAACAGATTCTTTCAGCTGAGCGACTCATGCGTAGCGATGATGATGAGCACTGCAAAGAGCGAACCCAAGAAAGTGTGCCTTGGCGCAGTGATGCTTCACCAAGGTAGCCCACGGTAGCCCGGAAAAAATCTACGGTAGCCCGGTTGCTCAAGAGATCGCCAATTTGTTCATGGTTCAATCCCGATCGTTTCATGGGAAAGCGCCAATGATTGATGCTTCAATCTCCAACTCTGTTGGTTGATTACACTCATGAAATACACATAAAGTCTCACCTTTGTATACCTTTGTCCTCGTTTTTGTTTTTAAAACAATCACAAACTCCCATGTTTGGTTGGACTTTACAATCTCCATGTTTGCTGGAAAAATCCCTATCCATTTGTTGGTGACATCCCCATTTTTCACGGTTGTACTCCCCATCCCCGGGACACAAAATCCTAGGTCAAAGGCGCATTGCCACGAAGGCGCTGACGACGCCGGCCGTGTCTCGTTCCTGCGTGTCCTGCCAGGAAAATTGGTTTTTGCGATGGGGATAGGTTTTTCACAATGGTACTTCAGAATGGGGTAACAATGATACATCCAACCAGAAATATGGAGTTGATTTACCCAGCATGGTAAGATAGAGTTGGCTTATAGGAATTAGATGGGAAACTAAATGAGGATTCGAATGGGGAAACCAACCAAGTCTGATTCAATCCATCTTATACAAAGCTATAGAGGAAGTTACATGTAGGTCAAATATACCCATCTATATAAAAGAGCATCTACAAGTACGGTTCAGCCGGTTCAGCCATCAACAATCGGGGGTTGATACCCGCCTTCGATATATGGAAGATATATCGCACATCTTCCCTGACATCTATGTCTATAGATCATATGATACATATATAATATATATATATAGGTTATAAGATAATCATGGTCGGAAGATATGGGAAAATAAGAAGGACTGTAGGCAACAATGTGAAGGTATGATCATAGTATTGTTAAATGATCATATCACCATAAGTTACATATAGTTTAATGATTGTATGTGTGACAGGGTCATCTATCCCGCAATGAAAACTTTTATACTATACTGCGCACATACATCTTTAGTCCCTGTTTGTGGATTGATCACCATTCCCAACATGGGTATACAATCCAACAGTCGACGGAATCCTGCGCAAGCGAAAAGTCGCAGCAACAACGCCCCTTCCTGGTTGAAATGGCAAGCACTCAGCTAACTACAATGCACTGGCCGTGTGCCAGGGAAATGCCACACTAAGGATAGCAGTTGACAAACCACATCGCGCGGTTGCCCCTTGCCGGGTGAAAAGGCAAAGGCACACAGAAACAGCCATGTCGTCAGAGCTGCTTCTAAAATTACATATCTTGGAAGACTGTAGAACGAGAACCACTGCCAACTGGATAATTAATATCAAGCGAGCAACAACTGCAAGCAAATCAAGACAAGGAAAAACCAGCACAAAACCGTTGGTACGACTAAGGGCGTTCCGTTCTCTGACAAACTTATGCACAGTGCGGTCACGACTTCTGACTCAATGACAAGCTCGGCTGGCAAGCAGTGATCATTCAAGTCAAACTGACAAGCCAGAACCTACAAGTGATGCACTAGGTGCGCTGGTAGGCAAGAACGCACTCATGACTCAAGTCCAAGGCAAAAGCTGAAGTCACTGGTAATTCAGAGCATTGCAGAAAGCGAGTGACATGAGCCTGTCCAGAGCATCCGCCACAACGCAGTTCAACGATACACACACACCATGCCATTGGGGTTTGTGTTCCAGCATTCAGGTGTTGGTAAAACACCTCCACCATCTGCCAAAAAATCAAAACACTTGGCAAGGACAAATGTCTGCAAGCAAACAACGGATGTCAATCCACTCCATAGTTCAGGTGTCATCTTCAAGAGGTAACTATCTGCGATGCCATGGACAGCGACCTGACGTCAGTCCCAAGCTACGGAACTGAGATTTCACCAAAAAATGAGAAGCATCCACAGGTCGGACAACAGAACCTCTGAAGATCCCAAAGCAACCACCCGAAAGCCAATCAGATCAACTGCACGAGTCCACTGATCAAGGGAGATCTTCAACAAGCATCTATCGGCGATATAATTTGGGCAATGTCCATGTGTCAAGCTAAGCGACCGAACTCCATCTCTCACCAGGGAATGGCAAGAGTCAACACGGCAAGCCAAGACAACAAGTAAGACACTCATCGAGACCACAGTCAAATCCGTCAAGATCACACGGTCGGAGATGGACAGATGTATTTCACGACCTGGGTCAAAGGTCCATGTGAAAACTCCACGGCTCAATCAGGGCACCACCATCCTACCTCGCTACGTGGCAGCTTGAGCCTTGAGGCTATCCAACTGTCGACCATACCACATACAGGAATATGATTGGAAACAACAAATAATGGGGGCCTAATGATGAGTGAACCTGTTTTTTGTTTACAACATGGAAACGATCATATTGGTCTATATCCACAATCAAACAAATAGAAATATAACAATAATATAACAATAATACTACCATGGCCACAGGCGGCCACAGTATGATACTGATGGTGGTATAGTCTTACTATTGCCATGAACATAACGATGGGGAGATCAATGATTCTTGCCACCATCATAAGAACATAATGAATAGTGATACTGGTGATTATTGGTAACTGGACCAATCGCAATCCTAGCAGCCCTAGCACCATTCATTGGAAAAATGTATGGTAGAATGGTGACAGTTGATGGTCGGTTGTCAAGTCACATTCTTGTTACCATGAGTGACCATCATGAGAATATCAAGCTAATGATCAAGAATATGAAACTAGAAAAAACGATGGCAAATATGTAAGTGATACAGCTTGAGTATTGTATAAGAATTCACTGTATAAGAATTTAAGGGGCTCGAACCCAAGGCAGGCTACATATTTTCAGCTATACCATACCAAGCACATAGTATTGTAAGAATTTGAGGGACGCTGGAATAGGATTGCCAAATTCTGAAACTACTGCTTATACGTGAGATGTGCAAATCCCCTTTGCCGTTCATTTTTTTGTGGAGTGACCCCTTATTGTCTTATGGGATGAAACCGGGCTTTGCAGAGAAACAATTTTTCAAGCTCCGAAAAATTGTTTTTTTCGCACATGCTTGGAATGCTTCCAATCCACGCAGAATCTATATGTGGATAGACTTGGGGACCTGAAACATTGTTTTCCCAATAACTTGATGAACACAACCCTACCCAGAATCTTTTTTTTCCACCCTGCTCTTGTGAAACTCAGACAAGCCCGGCTTTGCAAAAAAAAAATCAGGCTCTAAAAATTGTTTTTTTTGTGCACTGCTCTTATGAAACTCAGACAAGCCCGGCTTTGCAAAAAAAAATCAGGCTCTAAAAATTGTTTTTTTTGTGCACTGCTCTTATGAAACTCAGACAAGCCCGGCTTTGCAAAAAAAAACTGGCTCTATTTTATTTTTTTTTAGTATGTCTCTTGTCAATTGTGGTGGAAATTTGCTTGCATTTAAAAATAAGAATTTGAGGGACCCTAGGCCTCAAGCTTTCGGATTCTTAACCAACTCTCGGGCTGTAACTGTAACAGTGATCATCGTGCTTTCTACTTGTGGCAATGACAGGGCAGCGGGAAAAAAAAAACATCCAGCTCCTTAGGGCTGCCACCCCCATCACTATAGAGGTCAGCAGGCAATCCGTTATGAGCGGAAAACGCCAAATTCCTTTGGCGATGCCGGGCGGTACTGAGCCTATCAATTTTTATGGCTAACCTCTCAAAAATCCTTTTCAATGGCTGGTAGTCAATATTAGGTGATATTGTGTTATGGCTATCTTTTGATGGAACTCCTAATTTATGGTGGGCTAAAGGTTGCAAGTCAATATCCCCTATGGCTTTCTTTGTGGTAGAGGTCCTTTACCTTAGGATCCTGAAACTCCCATTGAAACAATTTGTCTTGTTTGGATACTGGAAACATGGTCAGTTCGTTGTTTTCAAACGGCTGGCGTTGTTTTTTTCTGCCACAGTGGAGTGTTTTTTGGAGTTAGTTGGATGAATATTGTTAAATGAAAAGTGATTGGTTTTCAATTACTTGCCGATGGCTGATAAATCATAAACACATGCTGGAATGGTGAACACATCATCACATGGTTGAATGATTGGATTCTATGGACTTTATGGGCTTTGTAGACTGCATGGGTTATATATGTACTGTATATGGGTTGTGCATATACAATCTAGGGGATTAAGGCAATGAGACGTGCTTAATCAGCAACATGAGATTTGGGTTCCTCCAGAAATGGGGGATACGCCAAATTCGAACGGGGAAAATGATATTTCAAAACACGGGGCAGTTGGGGATGCCATAGTAGTCAGCGAACTCTAACATAGACAAAGAAGCAATTGGACCACGGGAAGCCATAGGCCCAAGGCTGCTACTAATGAAGCATGTAGAGGCACATCAGCATGTTGATTGGGGTTTGACAATGTGTCCTTGCAACTTGGTGCTCCCTGGCCTTTTCAAACAGCAAACTCTGTTGGCAATTCTGGACAGACCTTGCTACAAATATGCAACCTGAGCTGCAATGCCAGATCGGTCCATTGAGGCGCAGCTGTCACTAAGAAACCACGACTCGTCCCAAGTCACAACGGATCCGTCCGCCAAGATGGCAACAAATCCCTTTTTTGTTCCTTCAACCTGTTGGACACCCTTGAGCTGCTCTTTGACTCCGGAGCTGTCACCACCAGAATTTTGACCGCCCCAAGTCACAACCGATCCATCTGCAAGGAGCGCAGCAAATGCATTATAATTTGCGTGAACCTGCTGGACACCCTTGAGGTGATCTTTGACTCCAGAGCTGTCACCACCAGAATCTTGCTCACCCCAAGTCACAACCGATCCATCTGCAAGGATCGCAGCAAATGCGCGATTGGTTGCGTGAACCTGCTGGACACCAATAAGCTGAGCCTTGACTCCAGAGCTGTCACCACCAGAATCTCGATCGCCCCAAGTCACAACCGATCCATCTGCAAGGATCGCAGCATATGCACGATAATTTGAGTGAACCTGCTGGACGCCCTTGAGCTGATCTTTGACTCTAGAGCTGTCACCACCAAAATTTTGACGGCCCCAAGTCACAACCGATCCATCTGCAAGGATCGCAGCAAATGCCTTACCCCTTCCGTGAACCTGCTGGACACCAATGAGCTGATCTCTGACTCCGGAGCTGTCACCACCAGCATGTCGATCGCCCCAAGTCACAACCGATCCATCTGCAAGGATCGCAGCAAATGCACGACCATTTGAGTGAACCTGCTGGACACCCTTGAGCTGATCTTTGACTCCAGAGCTGTCACCACCAGAATCTCGCCCACCCCAAGTCACAACCGATCCATCTGCAAGGATGGCAGCAAATGCATGATAATTTGCGTGAACCTGCTGGACACCCTTGAGCTGATCCTTGACTCCAGAGCTGTCACCACCAGAATCTCGATCGCCCCAAGTCACAACCGATCCGTCTGCAAGGATCGCAGCAAATGCGCGAGCAGTTGCGTGAACCTGCTGAACACCCTTGAGCTGATCTTTGACTGCAGAGCTGTCACCACCAAAGCGTCGACCGCCCCAAGTCACAACGGATCCATCTGCAAGGATGGCAGCAAATGCATAATAAGTTTCGTGAACCTGCTGGACACCAATGAGCTCTTCTTTGACTGTGGAGCTGTGACCACCAAAATCTGGATGGCCCCAAGTCACAACCTGGTTTCCTCCACAGCACCACAATGCGGCAGCTCCATCTGTTGCTACTACTTTTACTGGTATGGCAATGGCTGTCAAATGGTCCTCCTCTTGAAGTCCCGCAGCTTGCAGAGACTTTGCAGGATCTAACATATCATTGTTTGCAGTCACAAGCCTCAAGAAGCCACACTGAAATGACTTCTGTGCCAGAAGTTTCAAGTCCCCTACTTTGGAGGACTGCAGAAGTGAAAATTTCTCACTGCGACCACTTGGCAACGCTACGTTGAGTTGCAACATTCCGCTAATGCGTAAAACATGTCAAGACTACCAGTTCTTGCCACTGATCTTGAGCCAGACTGCACCACTCGCAAATATCGTCTCCTGGCACGCCAAGAAGAATTGCTACAATAGCTTTGGAGAATGTCTGACGCGGCAGCAGGGGTGTCTCCTACACTTCCCATGGTTGGTGCTTTGCTTTTGAAGGGAGTTCAACTCCATCAACGGATTTGTTGATTTGTCAAGCAACAAAATGGTCTCAATCAACGGCACCTGGGCAGAGCCCGACAAATATTGGGATATTGAAATGAATTTCAGATTTTTCGACCAACTACACTTGCAGTCTTGAACCCTCAAAATTAAAGTTGCAAGAAGAAGTGCTTTACAATTCTTTTCCAGGCAAAAGTGTATATAGTTTCAACCCACAACATACCTCGCAGCGCACAAGGAGCTAAACCGTACAAGCTAGGGAGACACCATAGGTAGGAAAAAATACGACTTAGGATATAATTCGTATATATATATATATATCTAGTATAAATATATATATATATGTATGTATATAGTTATACATGTATATATATATATATATTGATATAAATTGATATATGTGTTTTTCTACCTTACTAAATATATATATATATGGTCTCGCCCGGCGTCCGGCAACCCCCCCCACAATGCTATCCCCCCCCCAGCCCCCCCAGCAACCACCCCCATTGGGGTGGCCAGCCATCTACCACCATCCGTCAAGATCTCATATGCTATACTTGCATGCTGGCCTCGTGCCACCTTTGCACTACAAAACAAGATACCTCCATGCAGTGTTCACTACTGCCCATACAATCTATTTACAACCTATTCTTGCCGATAAAGTACCTTTATAGTAGCCATATACTAGCTACTATCAAGATCTCATGTGCTATACATATTTGCTGACCACGTATTACCTATACACTATCTACATGATACCTCTAAAACACCCAACCCATCCCACAAGGGGGGTGTGGGGGTAAGCTACACCCTGAATGACGCAATTTACAACGTATTCTTGCCCATAAAGTACCTTTATAGTAGCCATATACTAGCTACTCTCAAGATCTCATGTGCTATACATACGTGCTGGCCACGTACTACCCATACACTATCGACATGATACCTCTATAACACCCCACCCATCCCACGGGGGGGGTAAAGTAGACCCTAGATGGATTACTAAAATTCTGGCCACATACGACTTACTTACTGCCTTACACACTAGTTGTGCCAGTGACACACTACCTAGCCCCCACCCACCCCACAGGGGGGGCGGGGGTAAAGTAGACCCTACATCGATCATTCATATGCTAGCGACATGTCAACTATATCCGACATAAAGCCTCCAACATACAGCGTACATACAGGACCATGAGCAGGGGGGGACAGGGGGGGTTGCTGGGCTGAGCCATATATATATACATATATACACATAGTGGTATATATATAATTCAAAACCAATAACACTATTGATAAATTGATATAATAATATTGGTATATTGATATATATATATATATATCTTTTCTGGTATATGAAAATATAAAAAATATATACATCGATATATTGATAGATATATATATATATCGCTAAATATGTAAATATATATATAGATGAATAAATAAATAAATATATATATATATTATATATGTATATATCGATAAATATGTAAATATATATATATCGATATATATATATATATCGATATATATATATATATTTATTTATTTATATATATATTTATATATATAGTTATATATATACATATACATTTCTCTCACCCCAGAGGCTACTACCATCGGACAGCCCTATGTTTTCCTTCTCAAGCTCTAATGGTCGTTCAACCTGCTAGCTCGCAGGATTTGCTTTGGGTAGCTGGCCGTTGCAGCCTGACCAGTTCGACCAGACCCGCCTGGTGCGAAGTGTCAAACACTCTGACATGCATCCATTTTAGATACATTCCCGGGGGGGTCACGAACCCCCCACCTCACCCCTTACCCTGGTAGACACTCAAACAGGTACAGGGGGCACCCATGAGGAAACTGATCAGAGCGCTCACTAGCGCGAACCCCAGCCCTAGCAGGGCCTTCAAGAGCCATGCAACAGCAACGAGGCTGGCCAGGACTCAGGGCGGGTTCTGGGTGGGAAAAGCGAACAGATGCTATTTTGGATCAAGGCACTTGAGCCAAAATAACATGGTGATTAGAAATGATCAGTGCAAACCCAGGCCTTCCAAAACCTGATGCACATATATATATATATATATATATATATTTATTTATTTATTTATTGATATTGATATATTGATATATTTGGTATATATAAAATGTATATTGATATTTTTTGTTTATTTGATATATTTTTTTGATATATAATATATTAGATATATGTTTGAATAATGTCCAAGCATCAGGGAAAAAAACATAAATCCCCCATGCGTCACTACCATGCGATCATCAGCCACCGAGGCCCCGCTCAGTTGCGAAAAATCTATGGGAGATAGTAGATACCCTCTGGTAAACTAACAGTTTGCTATTGAAAATGACCATTTATAGTGAGTTTTCCCATTAAAAATGGTGATTTTCCATAGCTATGTTAGTTTACCAGAGAGTATGGAATGTATAAGGGAGCAGTGTTCAAAATCTCTTTATCATTCCATTGTACTGGTTGGTTTTTTTCGGGATTCCTCTATTGGATTATTGTAATCCCCAATATACTGGGTAGTATAATCCCCTATAATCATAAACCAACAGGGGTTTCGAACACTGCTCAAGTAGATATGGCTATGGGTCAAAACCCTGGTACCTACTGTAGTGAACATCAAAATATCTGGCGAATGGATGTTTATCCTACTAAAATTGATAATCGTAGGTTTTGACCCAGCACCATATAACTATAGTTCATGGAATTTATAGATTATAGACCAACTTATACTACGTTACTACGTTCCGGTACGTCAAGCGGACTTGTTGCTAAAAGAAGTCACTTCATAATATGCAAGTTTCATATGTATTAACAAAATGTGCAACAATAAAATATAAAAGGTTTTACCATAAAATGAAATGCAATTTTATATGATGTAAACTGATATGATTATTGAAAAGAAAATTGAAAAATATGATGCCACATCAATTCCATTGAAAAAATCCAAACATAAAATGAACGAAAATAACAAGCAAAGTCAATATGTACATATACAATGATACATTTTAAAAAAAGAAAACCAGTATCTATTTTTCAAGTGAAAATTTAGTGAAAAACATGATTGAAATGTAATGTAATTTGAAATCTATAGTAGCACATTTAATATACAAATACTATAGTGCATTAAAAATGTATAATTTGTTTTTTCCAATGAGGCCTAAAAATTTCACAAAATAAACAATAAAAATGCATGCAAAAAAAAGAACAATAATGCCATTACATAAATATGTTGGATTATAATGGAAAAAAATAGCATAAACTATTGGAATATAATTTGAAAAAATAGAATTCAATTTGGCATCTGTTGTTCTGAGATGTTCTCAGGCTTCTTCAACGCAGAGTTCGCTGATGCGATGAATGTGGCAGAAACATGGGGGTGCAACCCAGGGACGCGCGCGAACCGGAAAAGCTTAAATTAATCGAAATGGCCTTTCCCCGTACATGGCTGTTGCAGGACAGGTCCTGTAAAAGATGTACCTTGGACTTGCAGTATGTATATATATATATATATACATTTGTGTAAATGTATGTATGTATATATATATATGTGCGTATGTGTATCTGCATACATGTATATAAGTATGTATATATATATACGTATATACTGATATATGCATGTATGTATCGATATATATATACATATAATAAATGATTAATTAATTAGTTGACTAATTAATTAATGGTCATAGTTACATACACCAAAATATTGTTTCTTTTGGGCAAAATACCCAATGACTTGACCCAGGCTCAATGAGATCTGCGCCACTAGCAGCGCCTCGATGAAGCGGATCATTAGTACCCAGCCGGGAAAACCCATAGGAAAAGATCGGAAACTGGCTGGGAAATCGCCCCAAAAAATGAAGGTTTAGAGATGGGAAACTTATTGAAATCATTTGAGATACCCTCTGGTAATTTAACATAGCTATTGAAAATGGCCCATTTATAGTTGATTTACCCATTAAAAATTGCGATTTTCCATAGTTGTGTTAGTTTACCAGAGGGTAAATGCTGGCTTTTTCAGATTCTCCATTGCCCCGTTTGCGACTGGAGGGTAAATCACGGTAAATCATCACAGGATGGCATGAAAAATTCGTCCAAAGGGAAGTGAAAAAGAGAGGTGCATCAAATCCGGATCAAGTTTGAACCAGAAGTAATCTCGGCCCCTCATGATAAACACCCAAATCCGGGGTTATCATTAGAGGGAAGGAACTTGTTCCATTTTTTACATCATATAAGCCATTACATACCAGTATATACCAATACCAATGCACCATACTAAACTCCCAACATCCATCAACATCCCAAGAAACACTCCCAACAAACCTCTGAAATCGGAGACCAAAGTACAAAGAGATATGTCATCGGCCATCCTTCAATGCTGGCCTGTCCTGAGCCGGGCTGTTTTAACCTGCAAAAAGTTAACCTTTCATCAAGAAGTGGTGACTTTCTCCATCGAAAATTGTGAGTTGACTAACAAAAGAAACTGACTTAATCAACAAAATTTGGTACAGTGTTGAACCACCCAAAATCGGGGATTCATCAACAAAACATTGGGTAAATCAACTATGCTATCATTTCAGAATGGGAATGTCATCGGCCAAATTGGGTATGGTTCTTCCTGGCTCGTTTTCGCGACCCAAAGTTTGGTCAGATGTGCTGCACACTGCATGATCTGCATGATCTGCTTGATCTGCATGATGCCACCAAGAAGCTAAGGAAGAACAAAGCAATGATGGACAAAATACTGCCAGTTGCAATGAAGGGGCCTCAGTATCAGCCCTCAGAACTGGCCATCCGAATTTCCAGAAACATGGCTTTGTTGATATTTGGACCCATTTACCATCCATTTACCATCCCCAACTAGCATAGACCCCGAAGAAATCCCGTTTCTCGGAGGATTTTGTCGTCTTCCAACCCCCAAGGGCCCCAACTCATGGCAGGGTCGTCATGTTTCTTCGGGGGATTGTGAATTCCAAAGAAAAAAAACAAATTTGGATGCTTAAGATTGAAAATTATAGAATTTAAATTGTATGAAATTGTTAATAGTTCCCTAGTCCCTAAGCTCAAACCAAAAGATAAGCAATGATGGCTAAAGATCACGAGATTATCCCTTCAAGATTTATTTGATATATTCCGTTCAAGATTTATTTGATACATATATATATATATATTATCCATCTAAAATAGTCCCCATCCCCATCTCATTGTGTGCTACTCATCAGAACTCGAATCCAGTTCTCCGATTCACCCCTTCCTCCCTAATTAGCATCAGCTCCCCGAGCGTCGCGCCGAGCAACGTCGTCTCCCCCAACTGCTGGCGTGACGATCCGAAAACTTTCCAGCCTTCAGGAGCAAATCTTGGGCGTCGATCCCCAGTGATGTTTTTTGGTGGTGGAACACGTTCCACCCCATTACAACTTATAACTAGGTGAATTCTATGGTTTAACTTGGGTTATAAGTTGTAAATCTGATTTATAACATAAAATATGTAGTTCTATCTACCAGATTGACCAGTTATAAGTTGGTTTATAAGCCCCATTATCTAGTTCGATATTACATATATATATATATATACCCGGTACATCCTTAGATTGGAAAAAAATGATTTGTTTCTAAAAAAACAGGTTTTTGGGAAACGGATTGGAAAAAAGTGCTTTAGAGCACTTTTTACCGTTCGGATCTATTTTTTGTATTTTTGGGGTATATTTCCAATCTCAGGTAAATACATGATTTCAATATAGTTTTTAAAATTTAAAGAGTTTTTTTTGCGGAAAATTACAAAAAATGAAAAACAACAAAAAACACAGAGCGTAAAAAAAAACAAAATTACGCAAAAAAAAACGTTCGGATCAGAAATTGCCGTTCAAACCGAATTGCGTAAAAAAAGTGTTTGCGTTCAAGAGCGTTCAAAAAGCGTTCAAAAATCGTTCAAAACCGTTCGAAATTACCTAAGATTTTAGTAAAACGAAGTAAATCTTCAAGATCTGAAATGGCATGATTTCGTCTTTTAATACACGGAAAAGCATTACGGGGCGCAAAAAAGCGTTCGGAATAAAAAAACGTTCGGATTGGAAAAAACCGTTCCAGCGCATGTTTTTTCTTCAAAATGGTCAAAAACCAAGTTTTTTTGAAAACTGATTGGAACAAAAAACAATCTAGAGGGTTACCAGGTATATATTATTGTATATTAATATACCATAAACATCCATAAACATCCATAAACCATAATTTTAAACTAGTCAGTCACCTGATCTGACCTATCGCGATTCCGAACTGGGGCACCACCATGCCAACTGTTGTTCTCACTCGTGGTTGAAGTATGGCAATTCACCAATTGTTCATGGCATAACTATGTGTAATACATCTATAACATATACATATATATAATTATATATATATGATATTATATATATATGATTATATATATATGATTATGTGTGTGTGTCCAGGTGCATAAATGAACTCACCAAGCTGTTTTCCAGTGCAGCATAGCGTGGCCATTTGGGAATTATTCCCCTCACCATGGGATCCAACATCAATGGCGTACGGGGAGGGAACATAAGGACTGCACAACCTTTAAGATATTTTCAAGTTCCAAACGACCATCACCAGATATCACCAGTTCTTTTATTTTTTTTACCCAGTGAAAAACTACATCCAATGATCAAATTGTTATCCAATGATTTAAATGGTTCAGCCTCCATTTGGGGGATCAATCTTTCTAGCTGCGCGCCCAAGAAACCAATGGACAAATTAATTGAGCCGCACCGCAGACCTCTGGCGTTTGTGGCTGGGAATCGACCCAATGGCCACTTTTCATGGGGAATTGATTTCTTCATGGGCAAAAGTTGATTTTTCATGGGGAAAAGTCAATGATGATGATTCACCGCTGAAATGGGAATCCACATTTCAAACCCATGTTGATCCGTGCATGGAAATATAACTACACTGTCCCCATTAGGGAAGGTAATCAGGGAAATGGGCGGCTTGCCGTGCTTGCCGTGCCGTGCAGGAGGCTCAACAATTTCTGTTTTGTATTCGGGGGTTGTTTGTAGTCCTTTGGCACTTTTCCACTCCCTGGCAGACACTCCATGTTTCCAGCCAAGATGCTGCTAGATAAATTCCAACCTCAGCTGACCCTTTGAGGGATGCAGATTGCTGCAGACTTGAGATGTCTTGAGATGGAGATGTTGGCGAGATCCGGGTTGATCTGAAAACAGGTTACCCCAAAAAATCCAATTGATTAATCCTTTAACCATCATTTTCCCTATTACCCTTGCCAGAAATGTGGGGTCAACCCCTCCCCAACTCTCACCCACAGCTTCCCCGCTTCGATCTGTGCCGGGCCACCCAAAGGCTCCCAGCACCGCTGTTGAGCCGGTCTGCTTCCTGGGGAAGCACACAGAGACCCATGCCAGTGTTGATCATCGAATATACAAACCTCAGTTTGTGAAGGATCTGAAGGATCCATCGCCAGCTGCCAACTTGGGGACATTCAACCGCAGCAACCAGTGGATTCCGCGAATCACGAGGATGAACATCCCTGGAAAAATCGCATTTCATCTGGGCGTAGCACAAGGTATGGTGTTACAAAAAAATATCCCGGCAAGAGACCCCAAACATTGTGGGAGGAGTAAGAGGATAATGTTTTGTAATGGTGGTGATGGTGTTAGTTAGTGTTGATGATGATGTTGATGCTGATGGTGATGAGGACGATGATGATGATGATGATGATGGTGATGATGATGGTGGTGGTGATGATGATGATGATGATGTTGATGATGATGTTGATGTTGAGGAGGAGGAAGATGATGATGTTGAGGAGGAAGACCGATCCCAAGACCGGGAAGCACACTTTGTGCGAGCCTGCGCAGTCGAAATGCAGACGGACATTTCACAAGAGCAATTTTGTGCGGAAATTTACAAGAAAAGTGCTGTACACGAATCCCGCGACACCCGTTTCGTGCGAGCCTGTGTAGTCGAAATGCACATGGACATTTCACAAGAGCCATTTTGCGTGGAAATTTACAGGGGATTGGCCGGACACGAATGATACCACCTCGATTGAACACCGGGCCTTAACTGTTACCTTAAGAACCCTTCAGTGTGGCCACACTGTTTGGGGAACTTTGGATGTTTGATAAATTGTCCCAATTAGCTGATGGGTCAGATCCCATCACATCCCCTCTTTGTTGATACCAAAATTCAGGTCCACCAATTTCCCCGCATGGTTCTGGATCAAAACCCTGGTGAACCCCTGCTTTTCACATCAAAATAACTGTTAGTTATGGGCGTTTATCCCAAAGGATAGTGGGAGAAAATCAAATTCACACCGCATGACCTATCCCATATTAATTGTGAGTTGGTATCCCATATGTATAAATAAACATATATATATATATATCATATCTATCATATCCATGTAATTGTTTTAACTATTCGCTACACCATGTTATACCAGTTGCATTTCATATATACAGTCCATATAGCCACCAACCATGGTTCTCCCCCCATTTTCGGTCTCACCGGCCAGTGGCTGAAATAGGGTCACTTCGGCCCAGCGATGTTGAACTACTTTCTGTGATGCCGGCAGCGCTCCTGCTTCCTGACAGGTGTGATATGCCTCGCGCAACATTGCAGTGGCCGTCCCAGGATCGTCAATGGATTGGTTGCCATGGTCTTGGATTACATTTTCCAGCCATTGGTGTTTTGGGGGCATCAAACAGGGGAGATTTATTCAAGGATATAGTGATATAGTGGCAAGCAACTGTATGGGACAATAGATTGGAGGGGAAATCTTTAGGAAACCACGATGGAAACCACGAATGGGACTGGAGATGGAAGATCGAGAACTGGGATAACTTTGATAAGCAACCGGTTGATCAGCCTGGTGATGGGGAGTCCCCACGTTTTGGGGGTTATCCATGGGCATTCTATTTAAAAGAATTGGGAAAATAAACCACGGGGATTGACCAGTGACAATTCCTGGTTTAAATTGACCGTTTGTTTTGCACTGGGAGATGGTGATGGTCTTGAAAGTGCCTCAAAATGCTTCAAACAAAATATGGGCATTGAAATGGGGGTACCCCGATTTATCATCCATTTCAATGGAATTTTCCATAAAACCATCCAGCTATTGGGGGTATCCGCATTTCTGGAAACCCCCGTATTTCTTGTGCATACATGCCTGTGTGACTGTGTGACCTTTGTAATAGGGAAATGTACGTATTTGGAGGCCTCGTATCTTTCGTTCGAAAGCATCACCACCTGATCATCTTTGGTTGCTATCATAAAAAATAGTCTTGCAGCAACCCCAAAAAAGGATAGAACAGGAAATCGAATTCTAAAAAAAAGCGAATTAAACTATATATATATATACGTATATATTAAAGTCCTGTTCAACCTGTTCCAACTTTTCAAAGACTTACCATCCACAAGTGACGAAACGAAACTGTAACAGCCACCACAGCCGAACCCAACCTGCACCAGTTGCTTGGAACATGAGCTGGTCGCCAGCGGTACATGTCCATCTTCCCCTCGAACAAACTCAGACAGTATAAGCCAGTTAGATTGATGAATAGCCCTTACTGTGTTTATATATATAGATATATCGGTTGTATATGGGTGTATATGGATTGCTATCTGCTTACAGTACCATGCCTGTGATGCCGGGATGCATATCCAAATAATTCCAAATAAAGAAATAAAAATAAAACACATCAAGGAGTTGTGACATGTTGTGACTCTATGACTGTGTGGCGTGACTCATGACATGTGGATATTTCCATTGGGTACCCCAAAAACATGACAGGGATGACTTAAATTGTCCAAGCCAATCTGGAATAGAGCCAGCAACAAATAGGAGGAACCATCGGGTAGTGCACATGTGTATATATACATGTAAATGTGTGTGTGTATGAGTTTGTAATTGTTTGTATCTCTGTTGATATGAACCTGTAATATGAATATGTGATGGTTGAATTGGATACAGCTCAATCCGTCTCAATTCTTCAGTAACAACTTAAATCCAATGTAAAGCCCAGCCATGGACCCCCACGGCCAATGGTGAATACCTGGCATTTCAACTTTGAAACTTCTTTGGTCATAGAATATACCCTCTGGCTATTTAACATAGCCATGGTATAGATGGCCCATAGAAATAGATGGTTTACCTATTAATAGCATGGTGGATCTTTCCATGGCGAACTGTTAGTCATAACCAGATGGTATTCACTTTTCGCAAAAAATTAGTTGTAGATAGTTATAGTACCTCTCGTAACCACCCTAGCGGCTGTTCGATAATCCAATTCTTAATCCTCCCCCATTCATTCATATTAAACAGTCCCCACAAACGATGGTAATGTGGTTAAAACAATAATAAACCACTGATGACTGGGAATGGTTTATTTATACCACCCATGAAAACGGTGATTTTTCTGGGGGATGGTGCGTTTATGGCATTGTTTTAAACACATTATAACCATGGTAAAAAGGATGAACCGCTAATATTTTGGGGACCGGATGAGGGCTGGTCAGGATGGATCCCAGTGCTGCCCGCTGGCCCAGCATCTTCTCTTTCCTCGGAGCACGCATCACCATTTTCGAGTTCTGGTGATTGATGTTTCCCCTAATCAATCGAAAAAGAAACAGATTAAGAAAACGTAACAATCAAATACAGATAAATATACTTTTGAAAAAATAATGACAATAATAAATACAAGACATCACAATAGCAAATACAGTAAGTAATTGAATCGACAAACAGATACATATGAAGAAAGGAAAGAAAAACGTGCAGCCTTTCAATCCCCACACTTGACTCACCCTGGTGATCCTCCCAATCTTTGCTGAGAGTCGCAGGGAGCGCGTTTGATCCTCCCTGGCTTAGTACGTTTTCCAGATTCATGAGTGTAAAATGGGCTGCGCAAATTCAGCCGACTCCGAAAGGTGCGAAAAAAAAGGTTCGGATTGATACCTCAAGCTTCGGATGTCCTCACCACTGCATCATGGTATGCCATGGCTTTCCATGTTGGGTAAAACTTTGGGCATCCATTTTTTGTGGGTGCAATCATTTCGATCCATACCCATATGCCAAAAATGGTGTCAGAAAATGACTACCCCAGATTTTGGTGGATACAGTAATGTCCTCTTAGATTGGTGGCTTCATCCACAAGAATGTGAGTGTCAGTGCATCGTATCAAATATCATGGCCAATCTTAGATAGTTATCAAAAGAATGCTGCTCAGTATTCTATATATATATTACATAAATTGCTGGTTGGTATTATGTGTATATATATATATATACATACACACACACGTGTATCCCATATAATTATCCCCATTTATAGCCAAGGCTGAAAGAAGTAGAGTACTGAGTACTGTACCCTAGGTTTCCCAATGGCTACACCAACGACTTGCCAGCCATGTCATGTCAACCGTCAACCCAGGATTAACTTTGTCCATTCATGGGGAGTCCAGTTAATAACATGAATAATTAGCTCATTAATGATAACAATCAAAGTCAGTATGAATATGTTGATACAAAATGAAAGATAGTCGAACTTTTGGGAGTCACGCTCACACCAATAATCAACAGACATCATCAATCCAGGGTTGATATTATAGATTATTATAGTAACCCCAAAAAAAGATGCAGAATAGATCTATCTTTTTGGGGTTGACAGTAATGTGGTACACCAAACCCTTCCAAGTTTCGATGGTTTTTATCGATTTCCGGTAGAATCGGGGATGGTTTCTAGGCGCTTTTCCCCATTAGAGGTTTCAACCATCAAAAATTGTGGTATATCCAGAAATACTCCCCAACCACTAGTTGTTCAGCTAAGCCTTGCCTGTTACTATGACTTAGCTAGCATTATCAGTATAATCATTGAGAGTCATTACTTCTCCAACGACTCCAATCTTAAATCTATAACTGTCTCAACTATTGGTTGGAATATCCATATCCATCAGTTGTTATTCATCACTTACAAGTACTTAAGAAAGTTAAGATAGTAATTGGAATAAGTACCGAGCTATCATTCCTTCCTTTATTTTGTTTCCAATTATCATTACCAAAAAAACTATCCACCTCGGTGGATCGTTTACGATCTGCTGGATTATCCACTTGGAATTATCCAGTTATCATTATCATTGGAATCATTAATTACTATAGATTAATCATTTGGAATTATCTAGTTATCTAGTTATCATTATCTAGAATTATCTAGTTATATATCATTATTATTATCGATTAATTAAACAAACTGGGTAGAAAAAATGTTGCAAAACAAGGATAACAATGATAATAATAAGATGATCCAGTAGGTAATGAAGATTATCCAATCACGAATTACCGTTATCAAAAACTAGATAACTGATGGATATTAACTATTAGTTAACAGCTATTACTTTTATAGTTTATTCACTAATTTCCACTAATGGTATTCTCTACTATTCGATATTCATCAATTATAAGACAAATAACCTATTAACTATTAACTAACTACCAACTATTAACTATGGAATGATCTATGAACTATCAACTATTATAATTAGGATCATGAAATAACGGCAATTAAAAGTGATAATGATTTTAAAAAAAAAAAACGTTCAAATGATAATAATCAATAATGATGTTGGAAAAACAATGTCATAAACCACGCATGACTGGGAATGGTAACCATGCCACCTATTTATGGTAATTTGGGGGATGGTTTATTTTTGTATAGATAATAAATTGGATTATCAGTATTAATATGAGTTATAATTAATCCAGTTATCAAAATCTATTAATAGTGATTATCTATATTAAGAAAAAAAGCTGGATCAATAATAAATCACCTTCATTATAGATATATAATCACTATAGATAATTATAGATAACTATAGATAAGAATAGGTAAATATAGATAATCACTAATAGTGATCTATTAATGGTGATTATCTATAATTAAACAAAATAGGATCAATAAAAATTCTAGATAATAGATAATAGTAATTGTAATCGTAGTTTCTATAATAAATAATTATCTATCAGTTAACAGTGATTATCTATAGTTACCATCTGGTTATGACTAACAGTTCGCCATGGAAAGATCCACCATTTTTTAGTTCGGTAAACCATCTATTTCTATGGGCCATCTATACTATGGCAAATTGTTAGCCATAACCAGAGGGTAATTATAGATAATCACTATAGTTAATTATCTATAGTTAATTATAGATAAATCACTATTAATCATAGATAATCACTATTAATAATTATAGACAACTATAGATACCCTCTGGTAAATTAACAGTTCGACCCTGGCAGTCATCGGGGTTGGAAGACTAGTTTCCATTAAAAATTTGCTATTTTCAGGGTCTGGATAGATAATTATAATTGATTGATCTATAATTGACTATAGTTCATAGGATAATCACTATAGTTAATTATCTATAGTCAATCACGATTAATAGATAATTATAGATAATTAATGATAATTACAGATCATAGATCCAGTGAGCTGAGCTCGGCCGCCGCACGGATCCCAAGTCCTCGGTTTTTCGGCGAAACAGGTCAAAAAGGCGGGGTTTCTCTGTGGAAAGTCCCGAGATGAAAACCAGAAACAACCGGAAAAAAAAAAAAACTGAAACCATGGAAATGTCTAGGCATATCTAGAAATATTTGGAATTGTGATCATTTATTATACCAGAAACACCAGAAATATCTCGAAAATCTTTCAGAATGTCGATTGAAAACACGTGTGTAAAAATATACAGATATTGTACATATACACACTATAAATATACATCGAATTGGATTCTTGGATGCCAAGGTTCTTCACTTGGCCAATGGAGAAGATCCTGGGCGACAGGGCGTAGCTATGGAGATGGCCCATAAATGATAAATTACCTATGAATTACCTTAAAAACGTTTACCATCGGTTTACCTATGAATTTTATGGTGTCCCGGAAAGCTATGGTGAAATGCTGTGAGATTCTGCGGCCGACCCCTGGCATGTCCAAGTCACTGGGCTGTACATTTACTGAACAAGTCCTGGCGAGGCCAGGCATTCAGATCGAATGCAAGGGAATGATAGGGATATCAAGCCGCGATTTTCGGAACGAATTTCATGTTTAATAGATTTTAAGAGAGTAAACACACCTATTATGTTCTTTTTTGGTATCTGATGGCTGGAGAAAAGTAGAAAAAGGCCCTCAAAGATCCATCACATATCTGGAGAATGCACGAGTTTTCATATTGAGGCTGCAGTGAAGAGCTTTGCGAACACTTTCATCCAAAGGTACTTTAATAAGTTCACCATGAAAAACCCTAGCTTTATCGGATGTCTATCCACCCGTCGTGAGGGATTTTGTTCATCAGAATTGCCTCAAGTTTGCCAAAAAACATGGTTTTACCTATCTAGATCTATGTTCGCGTGGTGTCTATAACATGTGTCATCAGCAACATTTGGGGGTTTCTTAAAATGCGGGATCCCCAAAACCATTGGTTTCAATACTAAGTCATGGTCATCCATGACTTGGATGATTTGGGGTACCCCGATAGATTGGAAACCTCCGTATATGTTTTTGTATATCATTGTAATCTACATCTCCATAACACGGCTGTTTATACCCCATCGGCCCCATCGTTGTTACAAGTTTCCATTGTTATACAAAAAATCCAGTGGTTAGGAGGGAGCCAAGGAATCTTTTCGAAAAAACTATGGGAAAACGCACAAGATTTGTTTAGAAAACTAGGGAAAACTATGGGAAAACTATGGGTAAAGCATCTGTTTCGATGGTGCCATTTTCCATCGCCTTCAGCTCATCGAAGAATTGCATGTCGTGGCGGATGCCTCTCCAGAGCCGGCGCGGCTCCTGCTGTGAAAAAAATGGGTGGCATCTTATGACCCTCCAATAAACTAACAGTTTGCTATGGAAAATGAACCATATTTACATTGTTTTACCTATAATTTTCGATGAACATTGTGTGTTTTCCCCATGGATATGTTAGTTTACCAGAGGGTAAACTGAAACGATCCTGATGATGAATGAGGATTAATGATGATTAAGGAGCGATTAATGATGATTGGTGATGATGAATGATGATTCATAAGGATGAATGCTGATTAATATTGCTTAATAAGGATTAACCGTCTTAATAATGTCTTAATCATTAAACCGAAAGATAAGCATGACGATTCAGCCTAATATCCTTCAGGAGAATGTAATATTCAGGAATGTTAATACTATAGTAGATATCAACCATGATGACTAAATATAAACCTTCAGGAAAGATAACCATGATGAATCACACTAAGATAACAAATATTAGATAGATCCCTTCAAGTGAATATGAAATACACCTCATGACTGGGACCAAAATGACTGAACAGTGTGTTGCTTGGGAAATATAAAAAATAAGGGTAATGGATTACAATGTTACGAAATGGCGCTGATATTATGTTAACAATCGGTTGACAGAATCTGAGTAGATGATATTGATATTATATCTAACCATCAAATCAGGTTGTCATCTAATCATACTAATTATCTAACCATATTAAGTATATATATATATATACAGTGTATATATATATCTGTATAACAATTAATAAGATAATTCTATGGAGCTTTCCTCTAAAAGAACCCCTCCCTTGGCTGTCTTGATTTGTGCAGATCCCTCTCCAGGGTCCTGATGCTGCGTCCTGTGCTCCTCTTCCAATCGGTGCTTCGCTGCTTCTTCCTTTTCTTTCAACCTGGCTCGATATGGTTAGATAATGTTAGATATACTGAATTTAGCCATATTATATCATATCACTTCTCTGAATTTAGAATACCTGGTTGTTATTTTTCAACCTGAATTTTATAATATTTATATCTATCCAAGCATGGTTTTCAACCTGGAGTGCGGAGTGGGCTTTTCTGGAGGCCTC